GTGGCAACAGTAGTAAGGTTGCCCCAGGATCGGGCAGTGTTTCGTTCTGCTGTGCATAAGGTTGCTATGGGTTGGTACCGACTCGATGGCACCTAACAACACCAACAACAAATCAGTGAAAAATCCTCATGGATGACAAGACTTGAACTAGACATTTAGAACGGATTTGAATGACAAAAGGATATTAACTTTGAAAAAAATACCCTTTCAGGGCCTATGAATTAGAATGCTAGTAGCAATACTTTCTGACGTACCCTCATGTAGCCTCGCTCACCTATATACCCATGTCTTCTCATCAGACAAAGGAACTCTGGTGATGTGGTGGGTTAGACATTGGGCTGCTAACCACAAATTTAGTGGCTCAAGCCCACCAGCCACTACATGGGAGACACATGAAGCATTCTTCTTCTGCAATGTTTTATAGTATCAGAAACTCTATAGAGAGTTGATATGAGACAGAACTGAGCAATTGACTAGATGGGCAGTGGGTTTGATTTCTTTCTTTTGTTTTTTTTGGTCTCATCTGGTTGGTTCCTGTTAGTTCATTTGGTCAGTGTTTTGACATTACTTTCTTTGGGAAACCTTCCCTACTCTCAAAACAGGATTTGCTGTTGTTGTTGAGTGCCATCGAGTCGATTCCAACCAATAGAGACCCTGTATAGGGTTTCCAAGGAGTAACTGGTGAGCTTTAATTGGGGTTGCCTTGGCAGCAATTAGTTTACTAAAGGAGTAGATGATGTTGGAGTTAAAGGTATCAACACAGGATTAGATGCCTGTGACTCCACCACCATCTATTCCTATAGTAAACTAATTGCTGTTGAGGCAACCCCAATTGGTGGTGTCAGAGAAAACTGTGCTCCAAAAGTTGTCAGTAACTGATTTCTCAGAAGTAGATCAGGAGGTCTTTATCCTGACACACCTGTGAACCTCTAACCTTTTGGTTATCAACTGAGCATGGTAAGTGTTTGCACCATCCAGAAACTTCTACTCCTGTGTACTCTCTACTGATATTTACAGGTACACATTGGTTTAGTGATCTTCACTTTATTGCACTCTACAGTTATTGCACTTTTTGTAAGTTAAAGGTTGATGGCAACCCTGCATGGAACAAGTTTATCAGTGCCAGTTTTACAGTATCATGTGGTTTCTTTGTATCTCTGCATTACATTTTGGGAATTGTTCCAATATTTCTAACTTTTTCATAATATTGTTGTATACTTAGTACAGTACAGTGTACACATAACTTTTAGATTCAAAATATTTGAGTGATCCACATTATTGTGATATTGAATTTATTGTGATGGTCAAGAACCAAACCCACAATATTGCTGAGGTGTGCCTGTATTTACTATTTCAACCCCTTTTTATAACCCCCGTTAGATTTTGAGTGCTTGGTGGCAAGAACTTTGCTGCATCCCCTTGTACACATCACAACTATATGTTTAAAATATGACATTGAATGAATGAATGAAAGGGAATTCCAGGAATCCCTAAAATGGAGCAGGGGTCAGGACTTGGAACAGTAAGGAGACCAACATTACTTGCAATCTGGAATTGTGAAATTTGTTAAAACCTGGATGGATGGATTTAGACAAATTCTATCAAATATTGCCATTGGCTATTGTAAACAGGGAGCAATATAATGCATCAAAGTTGAAGAAAAATTAGTCAAACAAAGATATGCAATATAGATTTGGGGAAAAGTCAAATCACTAGTCTGAAGAATTTCATCAGATTTTTTTATATTATAAAGAAAGATTTCATGATGCCTTACATAGTCAAAAGTACAACCCACATGTGACATTAAAATTCTCAGGGTTGTACTAATTCACTTTCCCTTCAGCATCAACATTACTTTCGGGTTTAGTATTTGTGAAACCTAGGGGTACAGATATTCTTCAGAATGTAGTAAATTTGGAAAAATCATCTGTTCCATATATCAAACCCGGGGTAGAATCACAGTGTCATCCATCCTGCAGGAATTAATTAGATGTGCTGTGTTGGGCAAAATGTCTTTGTCTAGTCATTTGAAAATGGCAATCTCAGAGAAGAGGAATGCATAGGCGCTGGAATGTCACTGAGGTGAGATTTTCTGATGGCATTCTACAACAGTCTTGTACCTTCTCTGGCAAACTGGCTGAATGGAAGCCACTTTAATTTCTTGTCTTGTGAAAGGACCTAATAGCAAATGACAAGATTAATCACTACTTTATATTGAAGATTCCCTCTCAAGAACCCCTGCCTTTCTACATAACCCTTTCTTCTACACAAACTAGATTTCTGGAAATGTAGTTTAATTAAACATGTATTTTCATTTTTATAATGGATTCTTCAAATTTACTCTTTTTCCAAAGTTCTTCTGTATCTAGGGATATGACTGGTTCTTCCTGGGCTTAGAAATTCTTTTATCTTTTTCATGATTTTTCCTTAATAGAAGTAAGGAAAAGGTTTGATTTCTGACTACAAATGATGATCAAAGTTCAGAAAGCTTACATTTGCTTAGCCTAGAGGATTGTTTTAATCACCTAGACCTGTGGCAAACAAAGCCACTTGTAAGTTAATTTTAAATGTTTTTTAAATTGATTTTGTTGGTGGTGATGAGAATATACACAGCGGTACATACACCAATTCACTTCCTTTACATGTGCAACTGAGTTACATTAATTATTTTCAAGTTGTGCAACTATTTTACCCTCTGTTGTTCAAGGGATTAGTAAAGTCTTAAGACTAAAAACTAAAGAAAAAGCAGTTTCAGCTTGCTATACATAACCATGATGGTAAACACGAAAACAAACACCTGTTAAAAAGTGATTCGTCTCCTCAAGTCCACACTTACTGGACCAGTAAGAAACTGTAGAAACTCTTTCAACCAAAACTATCCCCTGAGGTCATCATTTGACTAAGTAACAGATTGTCTCATAGAATAAAGAATATCACCCATGTGCTCCTTTAAAAAATCATGTATATAAGACCAAATTGTCAATAATTACTCTAAAGCAAAGGAGGGTAAGGGAGCAGGTAAACTAGATGACTAGAAATGGAACAGCCAAAATGAAAATAATGAGTTAAAAAACAACCCGACATTGTTCATCAATCACACCGCACACCAGACAGCCCGTCTAGAGATTTTACTCCAGGTCAAGACTAACAGCGAGACTTCTGGCCGAGAGCGAAGGCAGAGGAAGAGGAAGTGAGATCAACAAGAAGGGAGTGGTCTTATATATGTCCAAATCAGGAGACCACGCGTCATTGCTGGGATGATTTAGCTCTGGCCTATAAAAAGCCATGTTGCCTATTAAACCACGCCCCTTGCAGCTTAGTTTTGTGGGGAAACAGACAAAATGGAGCCTAAGGGAAGGGAGAGGGAAGAACCCCGAAGGTATTGTAACAATGAGTATATTTACACACTGTGAAAAATGTAGCCCAAGTCACTGAATAATTTGTGTATACACTATTAAATGGGAATTTTAAATTGTAAAAATACACTATAATATTTTTAAGTGCTGCATACGTGAAAGAGTGATGGTGGCATGGTAGGACGTGTGGGGAGAGACCCACTGTTGGTTGAGCTAAGTTTTTGTTGCTCTTAGGTGCCGTTGAGTTGATTCCGGCTCATAGCAAAACTATATACAACAGAAGGAAACAATTATTGTTATGCGTGAGTTTATTGCTGCTGCCACTGTGCTAATCCATCTCATTGGGGTCTTCAATTTTTTTTTGATGACCCTCTGCTTTATCAAGCATGATGTCCTCTCCAGAACTAAGTTTTATATGATTATTATTGACTAAATTAAAAGTATATATGAGTGTATAGTTTTGAAAAAAAGAAAACTTCATAGGTAGTCTCAAAGTAAGTAAGATAAAACAGTGGCATATGTTTGTTCATTTGAAGAAAAAAGAAAGCTCATGATTATCTTCTTTGTATTTACATAGCTCCCAATTCACTTGGGTCTCAGGAGTATGTTTGCAAGCAGTAATCCCCATAAATTTTCATTTCACTGCAATAGAAAATATTTGTGACTTATGCTTGAAGAGCTCTTGCTCAAGGCAGTAGACTAGCATTGGGATTAAATGTTATCTCTGTTGTTCAAGGCAAGGGCCAATCAAGCCAGAAGTCCTGTCTATTCAATGGCCTGGAAAACGATCAAGCCGCCGAGTCCAGAGACACAACAGCTTCTCGCCCAACAGCCCTCAGTTTAATGTCAGTGGTCCAGGTAACGTAGGGCTTCATCGTTTTTTCTCCTTCAAGGTCAACTCAGTTTATATTTTCATATTGATTGATTTTTGGTTTTGGTTTTTTTATCTTTTTGTTGTTGTTGTTAAGTGTTTTATTGTGAATTATGTGATAATTTACAAAGGAGAACATTAGCTTTACATTCATCCTATCCTATATCGTTTCATTACCTTGATTACAGTCCCCTCCAGGCATCATCAAACAACCAAAGGGTATACCCCACAAGTCTGCCCCTGAATTATCAGCACACAGCCCCTCTCCCTCTCTGGATCTAGAGTCTCCAGCTTTTCCATCTCTCTATGTCATCATCTCTACCTCTGTCTCTGGCATCACTGTTTCTCCGGGTTGGGTCTGCTCTTCTCCCTTCATGGTCCCAGGAACCTTCACTCCTGAACTGCAAAGTCAACCAATTCCCTCCTTTTGTTACAAAACATTTACCTTTACATTCCTCAGCATCTAAAACAACAGTAGCAATGGAATACTTTCCTTTTACCAAGCAAGTTGTGCTGAAACTGAAGCAATAAAAAGTTGAATGTATGAAGATCTGGGTCACAATCCTAACCATCAGTTCCATAAGAACCACTGCAGTTGTGCTGGGTGAAAAGGAAGAAATTGACTCCATCAGCAAATATATTACAGAACCTCAGGGTTGAGTGCCCAGTAAGCCATGTAAACACAGGCTTACTTGTGCTTACTTACATACTTTCACCATAACATGTGAAACTGTTAACTATAGATTAGTAAGCATAAATAAGTCTGTGTTTACCTTGCTTACTGGTATTCTATCAGAGTCACAGATTTGAAAAGAGGCTTTGAGTCTGTAGGGGTACTGTGGGGTTGTAAGAGAGACAGATGGATGCCAGCCAGACCTAGAAGCAGAATCTTTGACTTGGTAAAAAAAAAAAAAAAAAAAGTGAAATTGTTCACTGCAGATTAGTAAGCAAGCACAAATGAATCTTTAAATATATAACATTAATGAATCTCAAAGTACTAACTATATCCTATACACAGACTGTACCTGAATGATTTCAAAGTGCTTTCTCATACACTGTCTTATCTCATCCCAATAGCTGATAAAATAATTGTTCGTATCTTACCAAAGACTAGAACAGTGGTTTGTCCACACTATTATTCCGTTTGTTCTGTGAAACCCATGACCTCAGATCTCAGAGGCTTACAACTGCCCAGCATTTTTTCTTCTCTCTCATGGGTCTGTGGTTGATAGTGAAGGGTGATCTCAGCTGGACTTGGGTCCAGGCTATTGTTTGGATTCGTCTATGTAGCCTGCTTCTAAGATCACTTACTACAGGAGCAATTTCTCCTCCTAGTGGGTGTCAGAAACAAAAGTCAAGTCATACAAGGACGTTCAAAACATCTTATTTTTTTGATAGTTTCATTATTATTATCTTTTATTATCAGTTTCTTGTAAAAACCCAATTTTGTCTTTTGGGGTAGAAAAGATTACATATATCCATCAGGCAAATTATGGAGTCATGGTATGGCGCTGTGGGCTAATACGTCAGACTGTAAAGTCGTGTGAACTACAAGGTTGGTGGTTCAAGCTCATGAGCTGCTCCTTGGAAACCCTACACAGGGTCACTATGGGTTGGAATCAACTTGATGGCTGGCACTTAATGACAACAACATCAGCAAATTATGCACTGAAAATTGTATGTAGTACAGATTACTAACAATAAGATATAAATTTGTAAAAGATAGTCATTAAGTGTGATTCATAGTAACTTGAATTTGTGAAAAGTTGGAAAATACCACCTTTACATTTATTATATTTTCCTCAAGCAGTCCTCTACTCCTTTTTTGGAGTCACTTTTCTGTGACTGTTTGCATCATAATTCACTTCATGGACTTTGGGGGCTGTTTTCTCCAAAAAGGTGGAAAATTAATGCTGATGCAAATGTTGCTGTGTGCCATTGAGTCAGTTCCTATTCAGCGAACCTGTAGAGTTTCCAAGAGTGACTGGTGGGTTTAAACTGCCAAGCTTATAGTTACCAGTCCAACGCTTATCCTAAAGCACCACACCAAGGCTTATGTAAAATACTACTCATTATCATTTAATTTATTACATTCCAAGATAAACCAAAGCTTTGCAGTCTGGAACTCAATCACATTTCTTTACCAAGAACTATTAAGTGATATTATTTCAGCAAATGCCCGTGAAAGCATTTTAGTTAAGTTGCAGTAAAGGAACACATGGATGCCAGGATGTATTCAGGGGTTCAGACGACAACTATTTTGTTTGTACTTTTGCATCACAATATTAATAACAATGACAATAAAAGTAGAATTTATTTAGTGTTTAATATGGTATTAAACACAGATGTATGTGTGTTGATATTTATGCTTATACTTTTATTTATGTTTATATTCTTATATAATATGTATACATTATTAAATATATGAATAGATGTTGCTTGTCATCAAGTCAGTTGTAACTCACAGTGGTCGTATATAACGGAGTGGAACTTCCAATAGGGTTTCCTAGACTGGAATCTTTACAGAAACAGATCTACAGGTCTGCTGAGTGGGTTCTAATTGCTGACCTTTCAGTTATCATTCTAGAGGCTAATCACTATGTCTGTCACCAGGGCTCCTTGTATATTTAATCCACACTGACTTAATCCTCATAAAAATGCTTTGAAGCTGGTGCTAGTATGATTCCCATATTACAAATAAGAAAACAGGCCATAGGAGTCTAACACTTTAACCAAGATCAGCAGGCTCTAGACTTGCCTGCTCTCTTAACTGCTATGCTATAACCCTTGTGTCTATGTACGCTCAGGTTAGTCCCTAAGAAAAGAGAGAGCAGCTATCTTCCCCACATGCCTTTGTGTGATTGTAGCACTTTATACCTTGCTCTGATCAGGGCAATGATTTCACTGGTTCCTCCCATTGTGAAAGAAGAAAATGTAGCATTATTGATTGATGCTTTCTCTTTTCAAAAGAAAAAACCAGCCACCTCAAGGGGTGGTAAAAAATGGCTCAGCCAGATCTGTTCTTTTGAATATCAAAGGCTACTACTTAAAGGCAGCAACATAAAACAAAAGGCTTATGAAAATGAACCTGCTGGGATGCATAAGTCTATGGAAATCAATACTTAGAAAAGTATTCATGTGAATGAAAAATAGAAGTATTGCAAATTTTTAATATATTGACTAGAGGATGACTTGTACTCTTTCAGTGTAAGAGAATAACTCTAAGATTTCCAAGCATGTCTGCTCTGTCTAGAGTTAACATATTATCCCCATGATTTTCTCTTTACAAGGCTTGTTAGAAGAAGACAACCAGTGGATGACCCAGATAAATAGACTCCAGAAATTAATTGATAGACTGGAGAAGAAGGTACATGCTTCTTTTTCTTTTTCTCTCTCCAATATTTCAAGGGTTTCTGACCCTATATCCTCATTGTCCTAGTATCCATAACTGTCCCATGGACATAATAAAAACCAGTATCCCAGCTATACTACAAATAGCTGCTTGGTAGTTGTGTAATTTTGCTTGTTAAAGCAAACATAGAAGTTCATAGTGACCACTGTCAATTATATTTAAGATGTAGGATTGAGAGTTAAGCCCATCTACTGTGCTGCCTGACTTTTAGGTTGTCCATGACCTAATTGTCAGTGTGCTTGAATGATTCTAATGGTGACTCTTATGATGACCCATTTCAAGTCTTAGAAATATTTCAAATTGATTCAGGGAAAGGGCTATGTGATATTCTGAAATATGACAGTCCATACTAGATTTTTTAGAAATTTGAATATTAATTTGCCATTATAACTAACTCAGTTTTAGTGAGGAAGTTGGGATGTGATAAAGTGTTCTTTAGCCCTATATTCTATGTTTCTAGTTATGGTCTGTGTATTTTTATTGAACAGTAAATTAGTACCAAATAGTTCTGATATTATAGTGATATTTTGCCTATGCAACTTTGATATTAGGGGCAACCTTTGGCAATCAATAATTTTTTAAATGTCTGTTTTCTATGCATGCATAGGCACTAAAGAAGGCACATTTGTGTTTGAGGCAGTGTCATTGATTTTGTAGCATTTATAGTCTACTTAGAAATCCTGGTATGGTGCTGAGGGTAATGCACTAGACTGCAAGGTCAGTGGTTCAAGCTCATCAGGTTTGAACTGCTGACCATATGGTTATCAGTTCAGTACTTATCCTGCAGTGCTACACCAGGACTCCAGGTGTGGAAATACTCCATAGTTTCTCAGATTGCCTCCACTGGAATAAATGAGTCTCAACCAATTCCATTCCAATTATGCTTAAAGTTTTACTTTAACTAAAGTCACTGCTGCTGTTGTGGTTGTTGTTCAGCATTGTCACATGAATTCTGACTCATAGCGACCCTGTATAAGGTTTCCAAAGAGTGGCTAGTGAGTTTGAACCACCAACCTTGTGATTCAAACTAACCTTGCATTCTAGTGTCTTATCCTACAGAGCCGCACCAGAGGAGGGAAAAAACATATTGGTTGACTGACAATCCCAGAGTATTATTGAAAAAAAGAAGAGCTAATACCCTGAAAGGGAACTGTAGCGTCATTAACATTGAAATACATGTTGATCAGTTAATGAACAAACAAATATCATATAGAAAATTCAAATGTGACTATATAAAGATCAGCTGGAGAGAATTTTCGGGTAAGGTAATAGCAGGAATAAAAATTAAGTAAACCAGCCTGGTGAGAAGAAATAGTGCCAAATAAGATTGTACAGACAGAGGGGGTCTAAGTTATAACAGGCTTAAATAACAGACTAAGAAATTTGGATTTGTCTATAGAACCAACCTACTGCCATCGAGGCAATTTTGACTAATAGCCTGAAGAACAGAGTAATACCGCTCCCTAGGGTTTCCAAAGCAGTGAAGTTTTGCAGAAACCAACTGCTACATCTTTCTTTTGTGAGGTAACTCATGAGCTTTGTCAAACTTTTGGTGCCAATGCTTGTTCCACTATTATTTTTCAACAGGTAAATTATCTGATCAAATGGGATCTTTAGCTAGAAAATAGGGCAGCAGGAATGCAGAATGGATCCATACCTAAAAATACTAGACTCAGAGTCATCAGAGCCAGTTCAGAAAACAGTATTAAAAGATGAGACTTATGGACCTGATTTATGGCAAAGATGGGCCTAAACTGGAGAATGACAAGAAAAGGGTAGCATGGAAGTTCACAAAACCACAGCATTAGTATCCTGGACAAAGGACAGAGGAAACTCAAATAGGACTCTGAGGGATTCGAGCCTGAGTGTCTGAGAGAATTATACCACTGACAGAAAAGGGAGAGACAAATGACAGATAATTTGTGAGGGGAGGTGAGAAAATGAATTGGTGTTTTAGATGTCTCTGTTTCAAGGTATAAAAGGACCCTTAGACAGAAATATTCAATCAGATGTTAGTAAGAGATTCCAGGCCAACCAAATAAGGTGTTAAGAGCTATCTCCACAAAGATAACATTTCAAATCCTGCAAATGGGTAAGATCTCTGAAAAGGAGATTCTATAGTAAGAAGAGCCAAATACGGAGACAGCCACGTTGAGGATCCACTTCCTCTACCACTGAGTCTTCTTCATTTGTTAAAGCTGACTATATGCTAGGGCAAATATTTAACTAAGAATTTTCTGAAAATCAGGTTTCCTCCTTCCTTATTAATTGATATGTAAACTGAAACTTACATAAAGTCCTGGTGTGGTGCTGTGGGTTCGCCAGACTGCAAAGCCATTTGAACTGCAAGGTCGGCAGTTCAAGCTCACCAGTCGCTCCTCAGAAACCCTATACAGGGTCGCTATGGGTCAGAATCAACTTGATGACACTTAACAACAACAAAGCTGAAACTTGATAGATTAATAGGTAAAATTGTGGCTACAGAAATTAGTTTTCCAGTGCTGGGAGACCTTAAAATCCAAGTTTGTTTGAAAACCAAAAGTTGTTAAAGTATAAAGATTCAGTTGTCAAATAAGTTTGGATTCAACCTTTTTTAAAAGTGACTTTGAAGCTCTTGGCAGACCTGCCTTGATTTGGTATCTTAAATTTATAGTTATTTTTAAAAGAATGGATCAAACTTAGGTCAAACCTTTTTTCCTTCTTTCCACCAAGTAAAGCGTCATCATGTCCCTTTCTTTCCTAGACTCCCTTTCTATGAAAGGGTTTCATTTTGAGGACAGTGTCTAAGAGGTTTGCTGAAAGTACAATGTGATGGTTTTAAGCATGGGACTCCAGCTGTGTTCAACTCAGCATGAGTTGCCTAAATGAAGAGAAAAACAGTACAAGTTCAGTTTTCTTTTACAACTTATTCTGTGCTGTGTTGAATTGGGTTTTTAAAGAAAAACTACCCAATTGCCTAACAGCGGCTAAATACATGTCATCTCGCTGTGGACTACCTTGCTTCCTGCAGTTATTAGCTCTGGGTTTGATCTTCCTTTTCTCTCCATTAAATCTTTATGATAAATCCTGGCTGCACTGTAAACCAAAGTATAGTGCCATTCATGGGGGGTGGAACTACATACACAAATTCTGTAATTTTCTTCAGGCATTCCTTTTTTTCTAGGTATATATTGAGGTTCTGTCTCACATTTTCCTTGAGTTCTACAGAAAAAAACCCTTAATATTTAAGCAATTAATATAAGCAAAACAGCAGTATAAAAAGAAACCCACTTCATTGTTAACCATACCATCTTGGACTTTAACTCATAGGACATCCTCACTCCCAGGAATATAAATGAGGATTTCACATTCATACAATTTGTTTTACATTTTCCTCATCTTAGATAAAAAAAAAAAAAAAAAATGTAGGCCAGAAAGTGTGCCTGAGTTTATGTGAGGGAAGGAGCAGTCAAAAAAATGACCATTGGTATAGCTTTTATCTATGGAGTACTTTTCAATTTATAGCGATCTGTATTGTATTATTTTGCCTCTATAGAAAAGCTGTTATTTAGATAGGGCATCCATTCAGTCATTCAGTTATTCAATTAACATTTATTGAATATCTACAATGTGCCACTACTATTCTGGCAGTAGGAACACAGTAGTTGGTTTATGGGGAGACAGACACAAAAAATGTTTTAATATCCATGAGACAAGGTAATTTCATATAGTGTTGTATAAAGAAAAAGTAGAGTAATATGATAGAAATAGGGAATGTGGATCGAAGATGATTGGCCTGGAAAAGTCTCTTTAACAAAGTCGCTAAAAAGGTGGTATTTGAATTGGCATGTGAAAGGTAAGAATTAGCCAGCTAAATGAAGACCTAGGAATAAAGAACTTAAAGCAGAGGGGACAGTGAAACCAAAGCCCAGAGACTTTTTAGAACTGCCTAAAGTTCTGCCATAAGAGATCCACATAATAGAGCGATATAGATCTGTTATTAGCAGTTTGAAGTTAATTCAAATATTCTGGATTTTTTTCAACTTTCAATATACTCCGTATCTATTTGAAGGAATTGTTGTGCATAATCCTCACTTAGCAGCAATGCTAGGTTTTATATTTATAGAATGCAGTCCTCAAAGATTCACACTTGATTTCACTGGGGGCATTAGATTTATCTGGTAGACATCACAGAAGGCTGTAGGGTCTATTTAAGAGCACTTAGTAAATGTGCATCTCAATGTCAGAAAAACAAAAATCCTCACCACTGGACCGATAAACAACATTCTTATCAACGGAGAAAAGATTGAAGTTGTCAAGGACTTCATTCTTCTTGGATCAACTATCAACACTCATGGAAGCAGCAGTCAAGAGATCAGATGACGTATTGCACTGGGCAAATCTGCTGCACAGGAACGTTTTTAAATTTTGAAGAGCAGAGATGTCAGCTTGAGGACTAAGGTGCACCTGACCCAAGCCATGGTATTTTCAGTAACCTCATATGGATGCGAAAGCTGGCAGTGAACATGGAAGATCATAGAAGAATTGATGCCTTTGAGTTGTGGTGTTGGAGGAGAATACTGAAAGTGCCATGACCTGCCAAAAGAACCAATAGATCTGTTTTGGAAGAAGTGCAGCCAGAGTGCTCCTTGGAGGCCAGGATGGCTAAGCTTCGTCTCTCATACTTTGGACATATTGTCAGGAGAGAACAGTCACTGGAGAAGGATGTCATGCTGGGTAAGATGGAGGGTCAGAGAAAAAGAGGAAGATCCCCAACGAGATGGATCAGTCAGGTGGCATCATTGATGGACTCAAGTGTGGCAGCGGTAGTGGGTTGGCCCAGGATTGGACATTGTTTCGTTCTGCTGTGCATGGGGTCACTATGAGTCGGTTCCGACTCGATGGCACCTGACAACAACAACAGTAAATGTGCCAGACTGCAAAGCCATTTGAACTGCAAGGTCGGCGGTTCAAGCTCACCAGCTGCTCCTGGGAAACCTTATACAGGGTCACTATGGGTCGGAATAACAAGTATTTTGTGAATACCAATGTTGTTGTTAAGTGCCATTGAGTTGGTTCTGACTCATAGTGATACTGTATAGGATTTCCAATGAGCAGCTGGTTTATTTGAACCTCCAACCTTACAGTTCAGACTGACTTTGCGGTCTAGTGCATTATCCCACAGCACCACACCAGGACTGCTGTGAAAATCAATAGTGTCATTTTTATTTACTTCCTAATTTATTTCTTTTTAAAGTGCATCATAGCGGTAACACTTGATGTCTATCATAATCTCCCAAGAAAAGCTGTTACTTAGATAAGGCATCGATTCATTCATCCCCTCATTTACCCAATTAACATTTATTGAGAATTGTAGCAACACTCACAGCAAAAGAAATCAGCCTAGTTGTTCTAACTGATTTTTACCTCACTATCGTTTGTCTCTCAGTTTTAATATAAACTTTACTATCTTGTAATGGCTTCTGTGAAGTAAATGTAAAGCAATAACAAATTGAACATATCTGAAATTGCTTCTTAAAATTGTTAAATAGATACAAAGAGTCTTTATTGAATAGACACAAGGAAGAAAACTCAGAATTATTTCATCTCCTTTTAAGTCATGAGGTTCTTTTGGTTTAAAGTTAGATATAAAAGGTCTGCCATTCAAATATACAGTATTTCTTTTAATTAGCTAATTTCTGTTTCTTTTGCCCATGTTTCTTCCTCTAAACAAAGGATCTCAAACTGGAACCACTGGAAGAAGAAGTTATTGAAGGGAACACTAAATCTGTAAGTGCCTTTTCTAACTCAAAATTTTAGAAATAAATACTTAAACATGAGTTAATTTCTTCACATTAACTACTATCTCAATGAAAAAGTGAACAGATTTACTTAGTCATGGATAAGTAGGATTTTCTGAATTGTAATCTGTGGAAACCTAGTACCCATTTCACGGGGTTTTTGTGAAAGCAGCCTGGATGCAGTTTGAACAAAATGAAAGGTTTGTACATGGCTCTAGATGCCACCCAAGACCTGCCAAATCACAGTCTTTGAGGGGCGAAATCTGGGACTATGTCTTTTTTCTTCTTTTCTGCCTTCCCCTTCTAACTGCTATAGGAACAGCAGTGAGAAGAGTACCTGGCATGTGTTAAGCATTCAATAAACACTTGTTTTTATCTTTATTAATTGGCACTCTAAGCTATAAAGTGGCCCCACATGATGGAAATTAAAGCATGTCATTTACAGGAGGAATCCATTCATCATAAAGGTTCTGCTATTTTTTTTTCAAAAAGTAGTAAAGCATGAAGAATGTGTTGCATACCTGCAATACATTGATATATTTATATTCATACACTGATTATGTATAATATCTAAATTGTGTTGACTGGCTTTCCTCCACGTTCAGTGGAGCTTTGTGTTTTAGGCTGATGGAGAACCTATTTCCTTGGCGTTCTAAATTTTTCATTGATAATTATTCTATAAGAAGGATGGTGGTGGTGGTGGTGCGCTGTGGAGTCACTTCCGACTCACAGTGACCCTGCATAGGGTTTCCAAGGCTGTAAATCTTTATTGGTGCAGAAAGCCTCATCTGTCTCCCACAGAGCAGCTGGTAGTTTTGTACTTCTGACCATGAAGTTAGCAGCCCAACTCGTATAGAGTACTTTAATTATAAACTGTGGCTAAAAGCATTGGAAACTGTAGTCTGTGTTTTAAAGACTCAAATATAGTCCTATAGTATATTGTAAAGCTGGAAAAATCCAGGGATGTATTTTTCTCAAACTACAACTTCTAAACTGAGGATATGTCTCTGCAAAAGCAACAGGTTTTTCAAAGAGTTTTTAGCCTTTCAACTATGTTAAATTTTAAAACTGTTGAAGTTTAATAAGGATTCTAGAATGAGAAAATTAGTAATAAAAATGAAAGAGAAATGCTACACATGTATAAATCAACAAGATTAGAATAGTTTAATGAATATTACTGGCAGAGAAAAGCAACATTCCAAATGCATCATCAGTACACTTTGTAGGCCCCACTAGTCTCAGGGTTATGTCTGAGCTGAAATCTTAGCCTATTCATTATTGTTTCCAGCATTTCACCCAGAATCAGAGACATTGTAGATCCTCAAGAATCATTTTTCATGCTGATTTCTAGGGATTGAAAGAAAGATAGACTGACTTATCCAAATAGGAATTTAAAGATGCAACAAAATGAACTTAGTGAGAGAAAAAAATGACTAATGGAAAAACAGGAGTCCTGGTGTGGCACTGTAGGGTAAGAACTGGACTGCTAACATAAGGTTCACACCCACCAGGAGCTCCTTGGAAACCCTATGCAGGGCAACTATGAGTCAGAACAGACTCAATGGCACTTCATAATACAAGAACAATGGAAAAACAGTACCTGCATTATTGTTTTACTTTATTTTGAAGTAAATATTTATAGTGTTTTCTGTATGTAGAAATTGAAATGTTTGCTATTGCCTTTAGTGCAAATTTGGATTAAAACATCTTAGGCGTCTACAGAAACTCACTTTTTTTCTTATTACTTCAAATGTAGTTATATTTTACAGATTGTGGAAGATCAGTCATATTGGCATGAAACAAAAATAAGAAATAACTTATATTTCTGTTATCGTTAAGTGCCATCGAGTTGGTTCTGACTCATAGTGACCCTGTATAGGGCTTCTGAGAGGGGGCTGGTGAGTTTGAACCACCAACCTTGAGATTCAAATAGACCTTGTGGTCAAGTGCTATCGTACAGCACCATAGCAGGACTCCTGGTATTTCCATGTTCACAGACACTGACTGCATGGTAGGAGAAGGGGCAACCCGTCCTGTGTGCCCACCCGTCCAACTTGTTAACACAAAGGAGTCTTCAGAGAAAACATTTTGGAGAATTCTTTGATAAGCTTAATAAAGGCTGTTAGAATTCTGTATATAAACACCTTCCCTTGATACTCATATGAGTCATATTTTCTTTACTTGTTCAGTGTTTTTATTCCTTCAAAGACAGGAATGTGATCTGATTTAATTCACCAGAATTATATAGGTAGATTTTAGTGGAAAGGGAGGGAGAGGGGATGATGGAGCACACTTAGGGTGACGCTGTATCTCTGTCATCTTCTAAGTTTGTACTTATGGAAAAACTGCACAGCAAACAAGAAAAAGGTACACAACTTCTCTAATATTGTGAGAGCCAGTTATCTGGCCTTCAATAATTCCCTAACGTGAGATTCTTCTTTCCTACCAAACATGAGGAAGAAAAGCCATCCAAAGACATGTTATGAAAGGTGGCAAACATTTCTATTTTATGATCAGTGATAAGGAACAGAGTACAATGTCAAATTTAAAAGCTCAGTCAGCACACACACAATTACTTTTAATTCAGGAGGACATAGAAGGCCTTATATAGGAGTGGGCATGGTGCTTCAGTGTTCAATATTGTTTTAAAACAAGTGTCAGAAAGGATCTTCTCAGCCATGTGTAAAGGTAAAATAAAAAATGCTTTTTCGAAATAGATATATGGGATTATTTTAAATAATTTTGTTTCTTTAGAGATACCAATAAAAATTTTTCTTTAAAAGTTGCATTTTTTTCATTAAAGGTAGTACATGCGTTCCTATTCTGTAGCCTTGTTTTTTGCCAGTGCCTTCAGTGCAGCTTGGACTTCTTCCTTCATTATCATCAGTTCTTGATCATATGCTGCCTGTTGAAATAGTTGAACATCAGTCATTTCTTTTTGGTACAGTGATTCTATATATTCCTTTTATTTTCTTTTGATGCTTTCTGCATCATTCAGCATTTTGCCTATAGAATTCCTTAATATTGAAAGCCAGGGTTTTTATTTTTTTCTTGCTGCTCAGTTTGAGAAAAATCTGAGCATGTTATTTTCTTTTGTTTTCTAACTCCAGGTCTTTGTACAATTCATTATAATACTTGACATTGTCTTCTCAAGCTTTCCTTTGAAATTTTTCTGTCTGGCTCTTTTACTTCCTCATTTCTTCCATTCACCTGAGCATCTGTACTCTGGAAAACAAGTTCTTTCTTTCTTTCCTGTCTCTTCCTATAGTTTATAGTCAACTTGATTCCTGTGTATTCTATCTGGTGAGGTCCACATGCATAGTTATGTTTTATGTTTTAGAAAAACAGTGTTTGCAATGAATAAGCCATTAGTCTTGCAAAATTCTATCATGTGCTCTCCTACATCATTTCTGTCACCAATGTCATATTTTCCAAATACTGATCCTTCCTCTTTGAGTCTAACTTTCACATTCCAATCACCAATAGGTATCAATGCTTCTTGATTGTTTGATCAATTTCAGACTGAAGAAGTTGATAGAACTCTTCAATTTCATCATTACTGGCTCTAGTGTGATACATAAATTTGAGAAATAGTGGAATTAAGTGGTCTCGATATTATTCTATCACAATTTGTATTGTATTTCAAGATAGATCTTGAAATGTTCTTTCTGGCAAAGAATGTGATACTGTTCATCCTGAATTTGTCATTCCAGGCATGGTAAACCATGATTGTAAGATTAAAAATGGTGAATACCAGTCCATTTCAGCTCACTAATACCTAGGATATTGATTCATTTCATTTCTGACAACTTCCAATTTTCCTAAAATCTAACTTTGTACTTCCAATTAATAATAGATGTTTGCAGCTGTTTCTCTTCATTTTGAGTTGTGTTCCATCAGCAAATAAAGGTCCCTAAAGCTTTACTCCATATGCATCATCATTGTCAGCTCTACTTTGAGGAGACATCTCTCCCCAGTTGTATTTTCAATGTCTTCCACCTGAGGTGCTCACCTTCTGGTACTATATCTGCCAATGTTCTGGTGCTATTTATCGTGTTTCATTTCCAGCAATATATGTGACTTTGTTCTGCTGATATTCATAAGGTTTTTGGTGGCTGAGTATTTAGAATTAGTCAGCCTCTCCTTGGTAGTCTGGGAAGCTCTGCTGAAACTTGTCCACCATGGATGACTCTGGGGTTTAAATTATCTGTAGCATAGCTTCCAACTTCACAGTGCGACAAACTGACAGATGAGTAGTGGCCACAAAGCCTACTACTTTAAAATTCTGGGTTGTTGACTAATTTACTGGATCATATCCCTGTCTTTGGAGGTACTCAGTTCCATGTATTCAGTGAGGTATGTTGGTGAACAAAACCAATTTCAAAAATCAGAGTCTAGAGAGGTATTTTCCCCTTCCCATTTCCAGTATTGAATGCATAATAAATTTGGAAAATAAGTTTCATAGCAGAAAACGAAGAATACATTTTTGTTATACTTTCTGTTTTTCAAAAACTAATCTTGACTGAGCATTTGCTGTGTGCCAAGCATGTACATACAAGCTCCTGTACTTCTCACAATAGCTCCATGAGTTGGTTCAATTATTATTTCCATTTTGTAGATAAGGAAACTAGAGTGCAGAGAGTCTTAAGTGCCACAGTGAAATTTAGCAACTTAATGTTGGGCCCACATTCATCATTATACTGTTATGTTTCAAACCATAGCATTTGGTGAATTTGTTGTTAAGTGTATTCAAGTCAGTTTCAACATATAGCAACCCAGTGTAGGATTTCCAAGGCTATAAATCTTTGCAGGAGTTGAAAAAGCCTCATATCTCCCACAGAGCAGCTGGTGGGGTCTAACTGCAGACCTTGTAGTTAGCAGTCCAGTGCTTGCCCTGCAGAACCACTAAAGGATACTAGTTTTTCTTTGCAAGTGAAATTGACTGTGAGTGAATAGATAACTTCCTTCATCAGATTCCTATAATTAGAC